TGAGTATTTGATTAGGTTTCTTTAGTGATCTTATCTTATGGAAGTTTTATGTGAATGGATCCATTCATATGGAATGTAACTTGTTGAAAATTTCGTGATTGATTGAGAATTGATAATATTTTTTGTTTGATTTATGATATGCTGACTATAAATGTGGAAACTATCTGAAAACTGCCCCTTTTGTTGTGAAGGCTGATAAGCCCGAGGTTGAGGAAGAAGAGGAGGATGAGGAGGATGACGACGACGATGATGACAAGGATGAAGATGAAGCTGAAGGTAGACTCCCAATGTTTGAAATATTATTGACCTTATTTCGTTGCTTTATATACCCAGATTCTTTTTTTAATCAATTTCTATGTTGTGAGTTTTGCTTGCATTTGTTGGATATGCACAACTAACACATTTTTTATGCACGTATTTTTATAACTGGTAATGTTGAAATCTGATGTAACACATTGCTCTTGGTAAGGAAAAGGAAATGATGAGATTTTCCTTAGCTTCTATTGCTGTTAAGAGTGAATAAGAGGTTATATAAGTTCTCAATATTGATTTCCATTTTTCAACTTTGTTAGCTGGTATTAATATATGTTTAGTTGATTATCATGGGTGGTACCTTTTGTTTGTCTTTGTTATTCACCTAAAAACAAAAAAGGAAGAGGATATGTTTCAACATTCAAGGCAGTTGTACATGCATCCACAAGGCCTTTTTTATATGCGGCTTACATATTCGATATGGACACTAAATTCTGAATTCAAGTATCTGAAAGAAAAATAAAGATAGATTATTGTCTTTGGGTTTGGTTTTGAAACATGATATGACCGGTACATGCTATGAATGACCTTGCATTGTAAATTTAAATCTGTGATATTCGTAATCAGTGACACATTTTTTGCAGATTTGTATTACACATGAATCCCTAAAATGGTTTGCCTCTCTTCTTTGATTGCAATTTATTGGGCATTGTGGCATTCATTTTCTCAGTGAACCGTGATCTATGTGATTATGATAATGTCTTTCACAGGATGACATTATAATCTAATTTATACTGCTTTGGGATGAAATGGCTTGTAGACAGCTTTCTCTTATTTCATTTTTATTTTCCTATCAATAATTTAATCTTGCAGAGAGTATTTAAGGAAGTGTGAGAACACTCCTACAAGTTATTTCTTAGTCTGTTCTTTGGATATTTGCGCTAATGTTTTTTTTCCTTTCCCCCCACAGGACAACAAGATGGAGATGCAAGTGGTAGATCAAAACAAAGCAGAAGTGAAAAGAAGAGTCGTAAAGCTATGTTGAAGCTGGGAATGAAAACTATCCCTGGTGTTAGTCGGGTTACAGTAAAAAAGAGCAAGAATGTAAGCTTTTCATTTTATTTTGATTGATTCATATTGCTTGCTTTTCGGAAAAACTCAGCTTTGATATATTTTTCTTGTCTGCTAACACCTAACTTGGGTTACCCAATTAAACCAGATCTTGTTTGTTATCTCCAAACCTGATGTTTTCAAGAGCCCAACATCTGACACATATGTGATCTTTGGGGAGGCGAAGATCGAGGACTTGAGCTCCCATCTACAAACTCAGGCAGCAGAGCAGTTCAAGGCACCTGATCTCAGTCATGTGATTTCAAAACCTGAGACTTCAGCGGTGGTTCAGGATGACGAAGAGGTAGATGAAACTGGGGTGGAGCCAAAGGATATTGAATTAGTGATGACCCAGGCGGGAGTCTCCAGATCAAAGGCTGTCAAAGCTCTGAAGGCTGCAGATGGAGACATAGTTTCTGCTATCATGGATCTGACCAATTGATAGGTGCCTTATCTAAAATGTCGTCATAGAGACAATCTAAAACGTCATGTGATAGAGACAGTTATTGTGGCTTTCCCGGCCGTGGGTTTTCAAGTCAAGTATCTTTTTCAAATTTTGTTATCTTGTGATTTCCATGGTGTTTTCAGTTGTATTTTATCGGTAAACATGTCTGGAATGCAACTTTTAGTGAAGAGCTTTCATTTTTCATGTCCAGCTTTATAGATACAGAACATTTTATCGCGTTCCTTGTGTTTTCAAAAGTTTGCAGAATTTAAGATATCAGCTACATGATGGTTGAGTTTAGGAATAAGAATCTTCGGTTCAATATTTCTAATTAATCAGTGATAACTGAGTAATCTGTACAGGCTAGTTTTTACCTACCAGCCAATCTTCATAAATGTAGTTAGTTCACTTTTTCAGAGCACTACAGTGGCAGTTAGCTTCCTTGTGCTTTTATTTTATTTTATTTTTCCCTGGGCTTTTAAGCTTTAATCAAATTTCTCCATTTATTTTTCTGATAAAGTGCCAACTTTCAACATATAACTCATGGTGTAGGAGTAAATCCATGCCATCAAAATCATGAATTATTTCCCAACAATAAGTAGCTGCATCCAAGTACCTTCTCTCGTTCACAGAACAAATGCAAGTTGTAAAGTTGACAGGTTAAGTAAACTGCTTCATGGATGCGTAGCAGCAAAGGGAGAGGGGCCGTAGAAATGGGTGGAGCATTATAGGGCAAGTCAATATAGAATGCCTGCTTGCCGCCCATCAAACCACACAGCCTGCAAAAATAATCAAACCTAAAATATCAGGTAACTGTGAGAAGAGAAACTTTCTTTTATGGAAGTCCTCGGCAAGCCACTTCAAGGAAAAAGAAAATCCCAAAGCTAGCAGTCAATCAAAGCTACAGTGTCAGTTCTGCAGTAGAAGAGAATGAGACAAACTACAGAACACTGACCGGGAACTCAAGAGTGAATAAGGACCAATTACGTTTATTTATTGAAAAATAATTTTTTTATAAAAAATATTTTTTTTAAAAATAAATTATTTTTTTATATTTGATAGTATAATAAAAAATAAATTAAAAACTATTTTTAAATTTTTGATTATGTCATAAAAAATAAATTAAAAAATAACTTATTAATGTTTTATTTTTCTTAAGTTTATTAAAATAATAAGGAATAATTTTATAAATTAAAAAGTTGAATGAGAATGAAATTAAAAAATATATATAATTTCATAAATTATCTTAAATAAAATAAATAATAATCAAAACAATAAAGATCAAATCTAAAAATTTAAAAATTAAAATAATAATATTAACATTTCATAAATTATTTCAAATAAAATAAGTAATAATAAAAAAAATAAGAATTAAATTTAATAGATAAAAAATTTGAATAAAAAAATAAGTGAAAAGCAAATATCAATTATAAAAATAAAAACCAAAATTAATATAAAAATTAAATTTTATGAGATGAAATTGAATAATAAATATTCAAAACAAAATATATATAACAATTAAAAGTTTAAGAATTAAATTTGATATAATCAATAAATAATATGATATTTTAAAATTTTTTATAACTTTCAAAAAGTATTTTCCGTTTAAATTTTTAAGAAAAATACTTTTCTAAAAATCAAGTTAAATTTTTATTTAATTAAAAAATATTTTTTATTAACTAACTTTTCTAATAACAAACAAACATAAAAAAATAATAATAAATTTTTAAAAATTTCTGAAAAACAAACATTACCTATTAATTTGTAATTTCTTCTATAGGCAATATGAACTTATAAATTTATAATAGAGGCACGACTAAGTAATGAGTTTTAGTCATTATGCTAGATAAAGCATCTAATTTGAGAAAAAGGTCTCGATTCCGGAACTAACATGGAATAAGCAATCAGTACCACTCATTAAACTACTGCGGTGTTTCCTCTTCTGCGTTCATCATGTAGCTTTTACTATGATTTATACATACCGGGTTTATAACTCTATGCAACAGCTAGGATCACTTATCGTCTGTTAATTGCATTTCAAAACGCAAATGATCGGGGAATACCGAACTAGATCTAAATGTTGCCATGGACATATTCTGAACTACTACGGCGGTTCCTCTTCTGCAGTTATCATGCAGCTTTTACAAGCTTCTACGTGGCTTAAAAACCTAAGTCACAATAAGGAATAAGGATCACTTCTCATCTATTAATTGCACAATCAAATGCCCTTGATTGGGGAATACCGAACTAGATATAATTTTATAATACATGTTATCTCCCATCTTCGAATCATCTAGTTTGTGATGTTTGTGGATACACAACAAAATTAATGTAGGAGCTCTTCACTTCAAGTATTGTTTTCCGAACCCACATATAGCTCCTTAGCAAACATGGAACAACATACAACTTTGACAAGCATAATACTTTGCATGAACATACATGTACATAGATACATATGTATGAATCTAAACACACAACCACACGACGTCATCAGCAGCCCAGTAAATCATCAGCTATTTGCAGGTTCCACGTTGTGAAGACAAGTGAAAATATTAGCTGGGATTTACTCCTTGAATGTTGATTTGTATTCGTTTCGAGGAGAGATGAATGAACTCAATATTTATTACACCAATGCTCTACTTTCACTATTACCAAGAGCATCAATTGGAGGTACATCTTCAGGTTTATTTCATCCCGCTTCATGCCATTTGGTTTGCACATGAATTACATCATTGAATACATCATAATTTAAGAATGAAATAATAGAGTTAAATATTAACACCTTTTAAGTTCTCGCATCAAAGAAGGGAGTTCAAACTTTATAACGGATAAAAAGGCTAATAGAAGACATGAAAGAAAGAGAGAACGAAGAAAAAGAAGCACCATCAACATGAGACACCTCTAAGAACGTACTGAGAGAAATCATGAATTACAAAACTCATTGTGTTAGAAAAATAAGTTCGTTAGAAAAATAAGTTTACAAACATAAATTAAATTAGATTGCTATTATGTTGTGCATTGTAGATGCAATCTGACTTCTCATTGCATGATAAGAAATTGATCAAAGAATTCAAACAAATATTGAGTGATTCTAAAGTGGACAAGCAAAAACTAGCTACAGGTCAGAAGCAAAGAAGCAATTTAGGCATTTATGTACACTTCGTATTGCACAAGTGAACTTACATGTATGCCATCAACTATCTTTCATTTTTGTCTTACCATTACCCATGTACAGCTCCAATAAACCAGGGACTACATCTACATACCTGCTGACATAATTTGTCAAGAAATTCTTCTCGTTTATTGTTAGCAAGGTAGTCATCTTCTTGTCTCTACTTATCAGCTTCTTCGACTTCAAAACCTTTATAACATTATACCTTGGACGAACCCTTTTATCAATTGAATAGCCAAGAAAAAGGGGGCAGGCAATTATGTTTTGTCTCTCCAGCTCCATTGTATTGATAAAGAAATCCATTGAACTCCTGATTTTCTTCTCTGACAATGCTAGTATTGGGGGGTAGCGTTTAAAAGCCCCCAAAATCTCCTCTTCACTCCACTGCAAACTCTTCATCCCTTCAATTTTCTTCTTCCAAGTCGTTTCAGGCAACTGTATCCTCACGCGAAGAGCATGTATAAAGATATTATCTTCTACATCAAGGCCCATACTCTTAAGAGCATGTAATGCATAAACCATCCTGTCCATCTTTTGTAGTACAGCTCTTGGTTGCCAGAGAATAAGCTTTGCAACCCTATCAAGAGGCAATCCCTCTTTAATCAACAAATCAACATTTGGTTGAATAACAACCTTAAGATTCACCGTCAACAGCCAAGAAGCACGCTTAAGAGCCACTACAAGGTTCTCCTTACAACCAAGAAGTGAGTTCAATAACTCGAAACATGGTTTTATTTGAGAATCTAAAGCTCTTCTCAAAACAGACGGATTTGATAGAATAAGCTGAGGCAGAAGCTGACCCACAAACCCATTTTCAGTGAAGAAGTCGAATTTGGGTTTTAGATTGCTTTCCACTCTGACTTGAAGGACTCGGGGATACTTGTCGATTAGTTTGGAAATGTGGGTGTTGCTAAAGTCATGAGCTTTCAAGTACTGAAGCACAGAATAAGCATTTGGGAGGTTCTTCTTGTCGAGTTGGAGCTTCTGGTAAGTTGAAAGGGCCAACAGTGAAGGAAGTCCGCATGAATCGATGAGGTATTGAACATTAAATGATGACGGTGATGCAGATGTTTTCAAGAAACGTTTTTGAATCAGAGAAAGCAGGAGTAGGCTTCTGAGGGGTACATGGTTAGGCATTTTGAATGCAAATTCTTCTCATTTCTAGAAGACAGTACTCAAAGAGAGATTCACAGTTTAGAGAGGAGCTGGGCAAAAACGGACAGACAGCAAAGGCAGACAGACAGACGAGAGTAGGGCTTTTGTTGGAAGCAAAGTGGTCGATGTTGCAGAGGAAATGTCAGGTGCTTATTTTTTTTTTTTTTTTTATGTTTCTATTCCATTGGGCCAGTTCAACACCCACCATGAATTGGCCCGTTTATGAACCCGGTTCAGTGATCAAAACATTATACTTGCATCCTCTCACAAATCACCGTTAATGTGCATTTATTTATTTATTTTAGTCCTTAAACTTTTTTTCTTTGATTTGATCCTTTCTTGGCTAGATAAATTACCATTTGCTTGAAATTAGTTGATGAAGGGTAGGATTAAAAGTAGGGGACTAGAGTAAAAAAGGTAGAGAAACTAGGTGTCTTTTTCCAAATTAGCTACAAAAATTAACTTTCATCCTTCTACTTTCTAATTGATATATTTTCGTTCCCTTTTTAAAATTCATTTTCAATCTGACACCTCATCTTCCTTGCTTTGTAATCCATGATTTGAGAGACTGGAAAAGGAGACGTTAATTTTCATTTATATAGAAGGAATTTTGGTTGACACTTCTATATTTTGACATTCTCATCATCTTAGATGGTAAATACAAGCTCGATATTTTTTTTATATAAATTTAGATTTATTCTAAATTTTTAAATTATTTAAGGTTACAATTAAGTTTATCAAGATTTTAAGTTGTTTTATAAATATTTTTGATAAAAAAAATAAAAAGCTAAAAATCAAAGAGGCATAAAACACCTTTGTCTCGATTTTCTAGCGATTAGATGGTTGCCATAATTTAGGGTTGCAAACAAGTATTATTTGTGATTTTTTGAAAAAAATAAAAGAATAAAAGGCTCTTTTATCCAGTATTTCTAAAACGTCATAGTTTCAAATAAAATTGAAGTTGAAACAAAATTCTGTTTTTAAATCAGGTTTTTGCTGTCTCAAAACCACTGTTTATAATTATGGTGCCTACGAATAACCTTTAGCATTGTGTATTTGTTTATTTACTGTGCTATAATTATATTGCCTTCAAATTTAGGAAGAACTAGCAAGCACTTGATAATTTGATCTGTGCAGAACAGTATTGAACCTTGCTAGAGCAATACAATGTTCTGTGCAGATGGCTGATCCACCATTTGATTTCCATAAATTTTTGCTGAAGAACCGATAGCTCTGCTGCAACCATGGAACAAATCCCTGCGTGCACACAGGCGTGTTAAAGTATGCGTTCCAGGGAAATCCAAAGCAAGAACTTGGGCATTTCCATGAAATCTTATGTGGACACATCTTCAGCAAAGACGCAACACTTGGCAAAGGATAAGAAAGTCAGGGCCATGAATAATGAAATGCTCTCATCATTTTCATCGGTATTCTATCACCACCTTTAGAGAAATATCCTTCATCCGTTTTTAAACCCAGCAACTAAAAATCCCAACTTTTCTTCAATCAAATGCAGACAGAATGGTAGTCCAGTAAAACATGTATTTTTAGTGAGTTTTGTGCTGAGAAGACATGAAAATATTAGCTGGGATTTACTCCTTCAATGTTGAGTTGTATAAGTTCTGGGGAGAGATTAATCAACCCAATTGTTTCTTATAAAAATAGCCTGTTCTCATTGATATCAAGAACACTAAAGGGAAGCACATCCTCTGGTTTTCTTCGATACAGTTTCATACCTGTTTATTAGAGTTGTTCACAATCAACTCAGTATAAGTATATTTTCATGGATACGAAGAACACCAAGTGGAGTTCATCCCCTTGTTTTCTTTGCTTCAGTTCATATCATTCGGTTGCCTGTGAAAGATACATAACTATAACTACATGGACTAAAAGATTTCATACCTGACCTGCGGAGAAAGGCAAACCTGGAATCAAGTTCATTTTACACTTCATTAAGTTCCTACATAAATGAAGTTCAAACAGTAAGTAGCGAGTGATGAAAACGGCAACAAAATATCTAAGAAGTAAACGACAATAAAGAAAAAAATTCACCAAGAGTAACTTTTTTTTAGAAAAAATCTATGGAAGGATATAAAGACGAACTCACTACAATTTATAGTTTAGGAGCACGCAAAAAAATAAAATAATACAAAAAAAATTCTACATCAAATTAAACTATTATATTATGAGCATTGTAGAAGTAAAACTTACTTCTTTGCCATCAAATGCAACGGCCACAAATCTGCAAAAACTCCGGGACTTCATTAGCGTATTTAGTGGCATAATTCACAAGGAAATCCTAGTCCTAGTCTTAGAAACCACACAACCTTCTTGCCCCCTTGAATCCAAAACCATCAAAACATTGTAACTTGCACACATTCTTTTATTAAATGAATATCGAAGACCCGCAGTGTATTTTGAATTACAGTTTCTGGTGTTAATCACATGCATAAGAAATCCATTTCACTCTAGATTCTCTTTTCTACACTTGAAAAACAGAGTGTAGTGCTTGAATGGGCCAACATTGAAATCTCAGCATCTTAATTACATTCCATTCTAAAGAAAAATAAATCTAAAATTGGAAATTTCCAAATGCAATTGAGGTTATCAATGCATTTTTAGCTCGGTTTAAATAAAAAAAGTAGTAAGAAAAATCTTACTCTTGAAGGACACATCTCATGGTAGAAAGTTGACTCTGCTGAGAAAACAATCTTAGCAATAGCGATGGCCATGTATTATACAAATTCACATCACCAATTCAGAATGAAATAATTAAGGTATAACCTGCAGAGCTTTTCAAGCCTGGAAAACAGAGATCATTTCATCATCAATGTTCGAACTTCAAACATTAAGCAACAAGTGACAAAAAAAAGGCCAAAAGACGATCCAAGGGCAAAGAGAGAATGTGGTGGTGACACTAGACCCTCTCAACACATGGACAGGGATGATGGAGAATAACCCAACACGTCATTCTTTAGTTGAGAGATTTAACACATCCAAGCGTTATTGGATTTTATTTGGGTTTATTATTAGGTTTAGTTTTCGTTATTTTATACAAACTTTTGTTCCATTCCTCTAATTTTATCCTCTCCTTTTCAGCTCCTGCTTCTTCCCAACTTCTGTTTCTTCTTTCTTATCTTCTTTACTTCTCCTCCAATCTTTACTTGTCCGGTAACAGAATTATAAAAAAAATACCCAAAAGAAGCAGCAGAATAAACAAAAAGAAACCACCACGAGATTAACTTAAAGAAACCACTATCCAAAATGATATACATGCAAAATCAACATGTTAGAACAATAAATTTAGGAATGTAAATTGGTTAGCAGATCAAAACTACTTCTAAAGGAAATTAGACCACCACCATTTGATGCATAGCAGATGTGAAGTAAAAACTCATCTATTGGCATCAAGTATTCATCTTTTTTGCTTCCACAGTACCGCGATATATCTCCAATAAGCCTGGTACTTTATCTGCATACTTTGCAACATAACTTTCCCGGAATTTCATCTCACTTCTTGTTGTTAGCAACCAAAAAACCCTCTGGTTAACTTCAATCAGATTCTTTGACTCCAAAATCTTCAAAACATTATACCTCGGACGAACCCTTTTATCAATTGAGTACTGAAGTAAAACTGGATTTGCAACTATAGTTTGTGATCCTAATCTCACAGTATTCACAAAGAAATCCATGGCCCTCCCGATTTTGTCCTCCGAGCATGCCAGTATATCTGGATTTCGTTTAAAGGTCAGCAAAACCTCATCTTCAGTCCACCCCAAACTCTTCATATACTCAATTTTCCTCTTCCAAGTGGATTCACTCATTCCTATCATCACTCTAAGAGCATGTACAAACACAGGAGCCTTTGGTTCAAGGCCCAGATTCTTAACAGAATTCACTACACGGACCATCCTATCAGGTTTCATCTGTAAAGCTCTCGGATACATCAAAATCAGTTTCGTAACCCTATCATGAGGCACTCCCTCTTTTATCAAGAAAACAGTATTTGGTTTCAGAGCAGAATTGAAATTAAAGGTAAAATACCACGGATAACGCTTAATAGCTGCTAAAAGTTTCTCATTGTTGTCAAGAAAGGACTTCAAAAACTCAAAGCATGGCTTAATACAAGAATCTACCTTCCTATTCAAAATCGCCGGAACTAAGACGATAAGCTGAGGCAGAATCTGACCCGCAAAACCGTTCTGAGTGAGGAAATCGAACTTGAGCTTGAGGGTGCTTTCTACTCTGCAGAGGAGGACACGGGGCCAGTTTTCTATCAATCTGCCTATCTGGGTCTCGTTAAAGTCGTGAGCTTTCAAGAACTCAAGTACAGAAAGGGACTTTTGGAGTTCCTTTTCATGGATTTGGAACTTTTTAGAAACTGAAAGAGCGGATTTTAAAGGAAGCCGGCATGAATTGACGAGGAACTGAACTGTAAATGATGATGATGAAGATGAAGAAGAGTTTGTGGATAGTGTAGAAGAATTAGAACAAAGTGAAGCAGCAGATGTCTGTATACATCGTCTTTGCAACAAAGAGATGAAGTTCCTCGCGGCGGCCATCTTCGATCTTTCAACGGGAGTGACGGAAAAAAAGAGGAGGGATTAGCATGTGTAGTGCTTAGCTGGATTATCATGGGCCGGGTCTAGTAGGGTTTATAGGTGTCCCCCTCCATCCAACGCTCTTCATCACCTTTTTCTTCTTCTTTTTTTAATTCAAATTTGATTGCCTCAGTCGGAACCCAAGTTAATAAGCCTGCATTGGACGGGTTAATCGGAGTCATTTATAATAATATTATTCTATTCAAGTTCTGGTTTGATTGTATCTTAATTTGTCGAAATCACATCCACTCAACTTCATTTTTTGAAATTTATCAGGTCAAATTAGGTGACAACAATCACAATGAACAAAAAAACTGGAAAAAAAAATAAAATAAAAAACAATGGTTGAAGAATTGCTTCTAATATATGGTTTTTAAAATATTTTTTATTTAAAAATATATTAAAATAATATTTTTTATATTTTAAAAATTATTTTTGATATAGGACATTAAAATAAAAATATTAATTTTAAAAAAATATAATAAATATAATTTTTTTAAAAATCACTTAAAAAAACAGCAAATTGCCACAAAATGAACAGTTCTCTTTCCTAAGAGTCTCTTCTTCATCCATGAATATCTGCCTGCACCTGTACTCCACACTACAAAAAATCATCTCCTCTATAGTACACAAATGAAGAATATATTCAAATCAATATTTGAAAAATCTAATAAAGATCCGGGTTTTGTACAAAAACGAGAAAAAATGAAGTCTTGAAGGTTAATAAACACATCTGTAAGATCCAACGCATATTGTAGCTAAGGTTATAATTTCTGACTGAAATAGGCTAAATCAGGGCAATGCTTTATATTTTCTTGAGATCATATGTTACTTTAATTATCTACAGGGAAAAAGAGAGTCAAAACATAGAAACAAGAACAAAAGGAGTTAAATTAAAAAAATGATCATGCAACTCACAGTAAATGATCTCCTCATATGACTAAGATTTGTTGTTTTCTTTTTTAGCCCAAGCAGCGTAAACCAGGACAGACAGAAAGAGGATAGAGAGCGTATACCAGCCATGGAGGATGGTGAGCTTCGGGACAGAGAGATAGACTAGACAAAGAGACCAATGGGAAGGGGGCGACTACTTTTGGCTCTGTGATTGCTGATTTACGGTGTTTGATATTACAGTAAGAAGTAATTTTGTTCCGGGCTTATTGGAATCTGCAGTAAATTGCATCCATGATCTGCTCATATGTCCCAACACTTTCACTTCTTCTTCATGTTGAATCACAATCTTGGACAGAATTATTTGTTCCTGAATTCATAATCCTCCAACATCTCTCCACAGAAGACGTTGTCCTGTTGGTTGCTAATCTCATGAGAGTTTGTTGCTGCTGAAGTTCTTTTGGTTCTGGGATTTTGTAGGCTTCAACATCTCTCCATAAATTACTTGCTGTCGTCGGTTGCTGAGCTGAGCAGGACTTGTTGCTCCTGGGATTTCATCAAAACCCATCTTCCCACAAATAATGTTGTCATGTTTACTGCGCTGTATGCTGGACTCATCGGGTCTGCTGTTACTATGCAGAAAACATTTTTGTACGAAAGAAAACATGTTTTTCATTTAGATTTCCAAAGAAAACTTCTTTTCTTAAGGGAAAAAAACACAATCTTAGAAAACCAGATTTTATAAAGAAAATGAACAGGAATAATGGTTTTTCAAGATAAAGGGGCTTCTCTGTGGTTAGTTACTGCAGAGGAAGAGTGAAAGACATTAACTAACTGGTCACTGTTACTATTGTATTGTGTCAGTTGATAGAGTGGACGCGATCGCAGATTACATAGCTTAGCATATTGATTAGAATACATGCTCAAAATCATGCTAAGAAAAATAATTGAATTCTGGGCCTTCTTTCATCCTCAACATCTCTTCATTACCAACTCAAAAGGATGAAATCCATAGGTTGTCAACTGCCTGTGGATAACATCAACTGCTTTGATACAGATAGATATTGGAAATGGTGGAAAGGTTAAGAGTTAAGGGGCATCCAAATGAAACCGCATCTGCTGGAATTACCCTTCATAGTTAAACAGACTGGAAAGTACAGTAAAACCATGAATGAACATTCACAGTTCTCAGAAGGAAACCAGAATTTCATAAAAGCCATCATCATTTTCATCATATCATAGCACCACCATCAGAGGAACGACAAGACTCTATCTCCTTTCAACACAACCACGACTCAGAAATTCCTCCTGTTCAAAGAATAGTATCTAGCCAAGAAAGCATTGAAACAGTGTATAGAGAAGGGGAAGGGTTAGGGTTTTTTAAGCCTTAAATACTATAACTCTGAAAATAGAGAAAGAAACTAGGGTTTATCAAGCTTTAGAATCACATTCCTAAAATAATTCTTTAACCAATAATTTATTTAGTTTCTGAAAAATAAAAAATAAAATTGTTTAAATAGAAATTATAACTTACTTAACAAATGAAATCTAAAACAAATTTAAAGAAATTCGAAAACAACTAGAAAAATTTTAAACATCATTTTTTGGGTCTAATTTAGACATCAACTGACCTCGGCTAATGCTAGCAAGGTGACCCATAGGGAACTTGACAAACACGCTAACAAATGTCAGCACCATACAACCATTTTATTAAAACTTATGTTCATTTTTGTCAAAAACACTAATTTAACTCGTCCAGAAATCCTGTAGGTGGAGAAGATGCAGCAGAAAGAGAGGAAGGAGCTCTTGAAGAAGGACTCAAAAGTCTTATATCCAACATGGAAATTCCTGATCTGCAAAGCAGGATGGAAAAGATATGAATTGGAGGTTATCCTGCGAAGGGGAAAAAGAACAGAGCAAGTTAGTAGGAATCATAACCATTGATATTAATATGAGAATCCAGGGCTATTTTTAAAATTAGAGGATTTGATACTGCAATGAGAAATTGAAGTTTGGGCGTGAAATCCACGAGGACTACCTTGAAATCTGCTCTTTCAGTTTCGGAGCTTCTTGGAAACGGAAAAATAAGACTTAGGAAAGCCCGCATGAGTTGATGAGGAATTGAAATGTAAATGAATTGATGATGAAGATGAAGGAGATGTTTGGAATAATGGTAAAAATTATTTTTCACAGTTATTTTTACTTGTAAATATATTAAAATAATATATATTTTTTATTTTTTAAAATTTATTTTTAACATATCATATCAAAAAAATTGAAAAACAAAAAAATAATTTAAAATTTTACAAAATAAAAATTCAACCACAACACTAAACACCCCGAAGAAACAGCTTAGTGAAGAAGAGGGTTATCAGAGGGGTTGCTGAGAAGATATAGACCTCTCTTCTGAGCTAGGTCGCTGTCGGTTCACTTTAATTGGGCAAAATCAGAACATTTTCAATTTGGATATATTCTGATTAAGGCTCAAAATAGGCCCACTTATAAGATTGTCATGGCTGACCCATGTGAATCTGTAATGTTCCAAACTCAAAAAACATGAACAAGATAGAAAGGGCTTGTTACTTAAGATACATTTTCAAAAAAAAAAAGTCATGAGAAAAAAGTTCCTTGTGATCAAAATGATGGCTTAGTGATGACCAACTTTCATATTCATTCTAGTTAAGAGCTTCTAGCTGCAAAATATGAAGTTTATCAAGTCAATTGCTTCATGGTTTGAAAAGAGAAGGCAATTTGGAAATAGGGGAAGCAATCCTGCTATATACAGCATTCAATCAGTTTGTACCACCTGCCTGCTAACAATCCAATAAAACAGTCACCAAGAAAATTAGCTGGCTTTGGTTTAACATCTGAAGAGAATGGAAAGAACTAGAGAGCATTGGCCAGGCCTTCAAGAGCAAGAATATGCAATCTATTTCAGCAAACAATGAAATTCAAGGGACCTATGACATCTTTTCAAAGAATTGCAGATGAGAAGATGAACAGTCAACAAGAAAACTCAAGGGTTCCAAGTCATGGTTGCTTGCTGCAAACTAACAACTTGACTTGTATAGTTCTGAATTTAGAGCAGAGAAGCAATCTACTAGATTATGAGCCTAGAACTTGACTAAGGATCAACCAAAGAATGACACTTGCAATATTTGTTGTTTGGTTCAAGAAAATTAGCTGGCTTTGGTTTAACATTTGAAGAGAATGGCAAAAACTAGAGAGCAATGGCCGGGCCTTCAAGAGCAAGAATATGCAATTTATTTCAGCAAACAATGAAATTCAAAAGTAATCGGTAAAACAGGCATTACAAATAAGAACTTCAAATAGCTTCTTGCGTGCGAGCGTAAGCACACATATAGGTATAGATATGTATGTATTCACCTGAGAAAAACATTGGCCTGTGATAATGGAATATAGGCGATGGATGGGAGGTAATCAAGTTTCTATCTTTCGGTCTTTGCTGTGCCCCTGTATACCTCCAATAAACCTGGCACTTTATCAGCATACTTAGTAACATAATTCTCCAAGAAATTCTTCTCACTAACTGTTAGCAGATAGTTCGTCTTCTTGCCGATTTCAATTAGCTTCTTAGACTTCAAAATCTTCAAAACATCATACCTAGGACGGAGCCTTTTCTCAGTTGAATACATAAGAAACTTAGGACAGGCAATAATGGCCTGCCTTTCCATCTTAATAGTATTCAACAAGAAATCCATCGATTTCCTCATTTTTTCCTCCGAGGATGATAATTGAAACGGGTATTGCTTAAATGCCCGCAAAATCTCTTCTTCAGTCCACCCAAAACTTTTCATCACTTCAATCTTCTTCTTCCAAGTGAACTCATTCATGGATAAGATCGATCTAAGAGCATATATAAACATAGCAGCCTTGGGCTCAAGACCCAAATTCTTGACAGCATTGATTGCATAAACCATCCTATCGCGCCTTTGATATATAATTCTTGGTTGTGCAACAATCATTTTTACTACTCTCTCTTCAGGCACTCCCTCTTTTATCAACAACTCAACATTTGGCTGTATAATACTCTTCCAATCATAGGTCAAGAACACTGCACATCGCTTAGAAGCCGCTACAATCATGTCATTACTACCAAGAATGGACTTAAAATACTCAAAACATGGCTTCATATTAGATTCTAAAGCCCTTTCCAAAACATTCGGATTTGATGTAATAAGCTCAGGAAGAAGGTTACCCACAAAGCCATTTGCGATGAGGAACTCAAATTTTGGTTTGAGATTGGTGTCTACTCCACGTCTGAGGACATCAGGCCGCTTCTCAATTAATTTGACGACGTGGGTTTCTTTAAAGCCGTGAGCTTTCAGAAACTCGAGTACTGATTGGGGCTTCTGGATGCTCTTCTCGTCGAGTTGTAACTTCTGGGAGACAGAAAGAGCAGATTTTGAGGGAAGCCCACATGACTTGATGAGGAAGTCTACTGTAAATGATGAAGATAGAGCAGTGGAAAGAGGAGAAAGTGTTGGAGTAGATGACGATGATGTTGATAGAAAACGTTTCTGTAAGAGAGGAAGCAGGCTTCTCATGGCTACCTTGGTGCCCATTTCCTGGAAGCAGATACTTTGCCAAACCTAGAATTAGAACAGACAGTCAAGACATTTCCTTTTTCAGTGGGTTGATGAACTGAACGGGTCTGTTTTCATTGGGCCAGATTCCTCAATGTTTAATCAAACTGATAGGGGTTCAAAAGGGCTGGGCTCAAAATGGTTAATTAAACTAGAATGAAAATAGAATGATTTGTTTGATGAAATATTTTTTAAAAGAATTTAATTAGTGGTTTTTCATGTAAATATTTGTTTTAGGAATTTTTTTAAAAAAATATATTTATTAATATTGAATAAGAATAAATATTTTTATTTTTATATAATTTTTTTAAATTCATTGTTTTTAGGTTTTTTTATTTTTTAATTAAGAGTTTCGGTTTTTATTTAAAAACAATACTTCAAATAAATAAAAGATATTTTTTATTAAGATAAAGAAATACATTAATAGAAAAAACTAGTGTTCTTTTTACGAATTCTTTTTTTATTATTTTTTAATCAATGAACTATGTTACTAATTTTTTTATTAAAAAAAAACTATTTTTTAGTCAGAACAACAAAAAAATTTATATAAATCAAAAAAGATAATTTTGATGGAAAAATATATTTTTATTTTATAATTTTACTTTTCTTTTCTACCTATATCTATTTTTATTATTATATAATTAAACAAAAAATAAATTTCAAAAAATTAACCGCACAACACGCAGTCATCTATGCTAGTGGTTAGCCCAGGACTTACTGGGATCAAAATGAAAAGAGCAAGCCTGAAAAATCAACGAAAATCAGCATCTGCTGCCAGATTTGTCGCTGCTAAAGCTGTCAGCAAGGATCATGTCACTGGAGCCGGCAAGAACCATCAGCTGCCGACTTCCCTTCAACAAGATTAGATATGGGGGCCAAACAGACGGCGGTTAGGTAATAACCATCGACTTTTCTTCATATATTTTCCTGATGAGAGTGGAAGAACTACAGAACACCTTCCTCAGCCCTTAGGAGTGATTAAGCTGTTGATTTGCTGAAAGTTGCAAGCATGTAAGTATTTCGGAGGGTAATAGATATGGACTTGGAAAGAAATGTACATAAATCAGCTTTGTATTTCGCACAAATGAACTCACATCTCTGCCAAAGTATCCATCGTTTTTTATCTTGGTGGCATCCATTTACACCACCTATATCATCCAGGGACTCAACCTTCATGCTTAGCAGTTAGTAATACTAATTCTCCATGCGATTCTCTCACATTTTGTCAGCAATAACTCAATCTTTAAATTCCCTTTAATCAGCTACTATGACTACATAGCCTTCGTCAATCCAATTTTCCTCTCTAAGAATGCCAAAAGAAGCAGGTATGACATAAAAAGCCCCCTTTAATCTCCCCTCTGCTCCAACCCACGCTTGTTCAACAACTCAAATTTCTTCTTCCGAGTCATATGTATTGTATCCACGTGCCAACAATGTACAAGCACAGAACCCTTTGGTTCAATGCCAAATTCTGTATCATATCAACATGCCAACAGCATGTATGAACACACAACCCATCGGTTCAAGGCGAAATTCTGAACGTTGTTTAACACCTTTCAAATCATAACAGTCACAAAGAAAGCCTTAAAAAAAAGCCACCATTGTGTCATTTCTACCAGGAATACTCTTCAAACAAACTCAAATGATGGATCAATTTGAGAAACCAAGGGCTTCTCAAAAGTTAAAGTTATTAGTTTTTTACTTTAAGCTATAACCATGGACAGAATACATGTTCAAGGACAGGAACTGTTTGAAATTTTCAAAAGGCCCTTAGATTCTCATATTAAAGCATGCATGCCATTTCTTTTTGAATAGAAGGGCCTAAAAAAAGAAAGATTAAAAAAAGAAGGTCAAAGAAATGAAGAAACAAGAGCTGCCGTGATATGAAACTAAAATGAAAAATGAAAGGATATTGAACTCAGTATTCGAAGAATTAATTGAACGATATAAAATGACAGGTACAGACTAGGTCTAATTCAGAAGAAGGGAAGCAGTTTACAACCATGTGTTATACTTTGTATAACACAAACTAACTTAGCCATCAAGCGTCTTTCTCTGTTCTCATGGCTGTACCCTTGTACAGCTCTAATAGACCAGGGACTTCATCCGCAAACCTGCTGACATAATTTATAAAGAATTTCTTCTCACTCGTAACTAGCAGAGTCGAAATTTTCATGTCTCCTTTAATCAGTTCCTTCGACTCTAAGACATTTATAACATTATACCTTGGGCGAATCCTTTTATCAATTGAGAAGCCAATAAAATTAGGATTAGCAATTATAATTTGTCTTTCCAACTCCATAGTATTGATATAGAAATCTATTGCACTCCTGATTTTCTCCTCCGAGAATGCTAATATTTGTGGGTACCTCTTAAAAGCCCTCAGAATCTCCTCTTCACTCCACCGCAAACTCTTCATCACCTCAATTTTCTTATTCCATGTCGATTCAGTCATTTGTAACCTCACGCTAAGAGCACGTACAAACATCGTCTTATCTGGCTCCAGACCCAAATTCTTAATAGCATTCATCGCATAAACCATCCTTCCACGCTTACTCAGTATAGTTCCTGGATTTAAGATAATCAATTTTGCTACCATGTTAACAGGAACTCCCTCTTTTCTCAAAAAATCAATGTTTGGTTTCGCATTGACATTCAAATCAGCCGTCAACAACCTGGAAGATCGCTTAAGAGCCGCAACAATATTCTCATTGCAGTATAGAAAAGACTTCAAAAGGTAAAAAGCTGGTTTGATACGAGAATCTAAGGCACTTGTAAGTATCTCAGTATGGTGTATGATAAGGTCGTGCAGGAGCTTACCCACGAAGCCATTTGCGATCAGAAACTCGAATCTGGGAGCGAGATTGCCTTCTACTCTGGACTGGAGGACTTGAGGCCGCCTCTCATCGTGCAGGAGCTTACCCACGAAGCCATTTGCGATCAGAAACTCGAATCTGGGAGCGAGATTGCCTTCTACTCTGGACTGGAGGACTTCAGGCCGCTTCTCGATCAATTTGGAGATGTGGGTTTCGTCGAAGTTGTGAGATTTCAAGAATTGTAGCACAAAGGGAGGATTTCGAAGATTTTTTTTGTCCAGCTTCAGCTTCCGGGAAGCTAAAAGCGCAGATTTTAAAGGAAGCCCACATGAGTTGACGAGAAAATCCACCGTAAATGAAGACGACGACGACGAGGATAGTGAGCTACTAGCAGATGGCGTCGCTAGAAAACGTTTTTGAATAAGAAAAAGCTTCATGGCCATTTTCTCACTAACAGGCAAAAATTTGGTTACAGAAGAAGCTAACGAGGACTGATCCCTAATTTCATCGACTAGGCGTAGGGTTTGTTTTGTGATTCATGAAAACCGGCCGGACTCTCAGTTCCCCCTTTCGCTTACCTCTGAAATATTGGTCCATTGCTTATATACTATACACGTATACTAGTGTTATTAAATAATTTTTAAAATTGTTTTTTTAATATGTTAAAATAATTTCTATGTATATTTTTAATATTAAAATGTAAAAATTAATATTTTTTTCAAATAAAATATATTTTTAAAAAAATCCTAAATAAAAACTATAACACATCAATACACCAGTGAGACCAAATCATTGGCTCGGTCTGGTACTCTGTCACGGACATTAGAATGGAAAATGCATGTAACTACAGTGGATTCGTTGTGGGTAGATCTTTATGTGCTGTTAAGGCAGCTTCAATGGTTGCAGTTTTAAAAAATAGTTTTTTTAAAAATATATACTGAAAAAAATATATAACTAGTTAAAATTAATGTAAGATGAATTTTTTATATGTAAAATAAATAAAAATATTATTTTGATGAATAAAAAATATGTTATTCTAGCTTTTATAAAATTAAAGTTTAAAATGCAATTACACATGTAGTTGAATGCAATTAGCGAAAAATATTTGACTAACCAATTTATTTATCTTTATCTTAGTTGAGTAAAAACAGAAATTAATACAATAACAAACAATCTTTAAGTTAGCAATTTGCAATATAATTTTATTTTTTATGCCAAAAAATTTTGTTTTAAATATTTTTAGTACAACTAGTTTTCTAGCTCATATTTATGGGCTGGATAAAAAACAAATCTAAAAAAATTATTTATTTTCTAAAAAACTACTTAGTATTATTATTAAACTCAATTTAATATCAACGCTTTAAATTTGAATTTTTGCCTAACTTAATTTAAAATTACTAACTTAACAATTATTTTAATATGACTCAGTTGACTTGAAAAGTATAAAAATAACTCGAATAATTAATAAAAAAAGCAATTTGGCTTGAAAAAATATTTCAACATAATATTCTTTTTTAATATTAAAATGAAAATATATAAAATTGATACATGTTTCATAACTAAACTTGTCAGATTTGTAATCTAAAATTATAAATTACAAAACTTGTCAGATTTGTAATCTAAAATTATAAATTACACTAAGTTTAATGAATTTATTTTTTAAAATTATTTTTTACTTGATGATATAATTAAAAAATAAATGCTCATAGAATTGAGTATCAACCAAATATCATATAATTGTTTTGAAACTAAAACAATTTTATAAAAAATAAATTGAAACAAATTATAAAGATAAATTTAAAATTAATAAAATATTAAAAGATAAAATTAATTAAAAAAATAAAAAAAATCATTCAAAAAAAACAAAAAATAAAATTATACTTAACATTGTTATTAAATCAAATTCAATGAGTTAAATTAACATGCATGATAATTTACTCTACATGCCCAGAGAATATGATGGATTCAAGCACATCAAAGATGACTGATAAAAAAAAAATTAAAATAAAGAGATATTAAATGGACTCAGTCTTTATGAGACTTAACTCACATCGATTATAGAATCCACTAAATTTTAGAAAATTATTTTTAAATTATTCAAAATAAAAAATGAAAGAAATTATAATAACTGTTTAAAATTAATAAAATATTCAAATAATAAAATTGAAAAAAAAATTAGAAGATAGATTTTTTAAAAAATAAAATTAAAAAAAAAAATTAAGTTGCTTCTCTGTTTATATAAACAAAGCACTATAACGTTTTTTTTTTCTACTTCTAGTAGAGAAAGTAATCTAAATTTAAATAAATTTCAGATAAATGGATGGCAAACTCTACATCACTGTTAGTTAAAATAATACACACAAACGTGAAAGGTGATCGCCAAAATATAAAGAAAATGATTCTTATATATTTGTGAGATGTAGAACTATAACCATGAAATGATCTCAAAGTTTTTTATCATTTTTCTTAACCAAGGACTCACCCTTGTTGGTTACAGAGATGGCTTTAGGACAACATGAACACATAGAAATATCTTTGTAAGAGATTATTATCCTGAACAACTATTGATTTTGCTTCTACAAAGAATTACTTGTGTGATGGAACATAAAATCAAAGGAATAAAAAGAAGAAAATGAGAATTCAGCACATAAATAGTATGCCGAGTTTTTGTATTAGATTCAATGTATTTCCTATGCATTACAAATGTATATATATGTGTGTATGTGTTAATAAAAAGAGGACTTCTCTAACACGATTCTAAAGCACACATCTGCAATGAATAACAGCTCCCTAAAAGCTACAATGCCAGTGGCCATGCAGTTTCTCACCATAACAAAACCAACATACTTGCTTTCTGCCCCCGCTATTACTTTTTGAAGAACCTCCATCTAGCTCCTAGGAAAACATGGAACAATCAACTGCTGAAATATCAGGCATCAATAAATACATTAGTTTGCATGTATGCAGCTGTTCGTTACGGTTTGCATGTTTAAGAAGCAGCAGCAGCACCAAGCGTGACCAAAGTGGCCACCTGCTGACATTCAATTAAAAACCTAGAGACACATCTCGATCTTTACCATAGTCTTTACTATAGCATAGGACTGAAGTGTATCACTTCAAGAAAACTGCTTCTGAAGCTCGCGAATCCCAGAAGATGAAGTGCTCATGTCATGCAATTTACCATTGCCGACTGAGCTTTAAAGTTTAAGAGATTGAAAGGAATTGAAGAAGGGGCACACAAATAGAACTCATAATGGCAGAATGATTGCGTCAAGGAAAGGAAGGGATGAGAGATCAAGGGCAATATGTAAGCAATTCTTTAATTGTAAATATGAAGAATTAAATATAGATTATAATGCCCTGATTGACGAAGAAAAAACTTCAATTGATGAAGAAAACTATGTTTCTCTTCTAACTCTCAATTATTTCCACTAGAATAAAACATCTTACATTCTCTCACTTTATCTGCCACTGATGGCAAATAAACCATCCAAAAAAACCAAAAAGGATGCAAATCTGATATGCGGTATGATTACAAGAAAACATCACCTCCCAAATCCACATGATCCAACGTGGAAAGGAAATACAACTGTTTAGATAATTATACACTTCTTGAAACATCGTTTGTAACATACTCAACAATAAGGAAATCACGCTTGTAACATAGTTGGTGTCTAACTGCATTGCTGCAGTTTGAAACCCTCCCAGAAGTCTAGATTTTGCCTCTCTCAAGCAACCTTATTGTTGAGTATATGAGACCAGCTTCCCAAGTTCCTGAGTTTGACAGTGACCCGCCAGTATTTCATATGCACCAGCAAGAGAGCTAATTGGCCCTGAACTTCTTCATATCCAAGACCCCTGCTATTTTGAAGCCAAACTTATAAATAACCAATCAAATCCTGAACACTTTACAGGATTCGGGCATGTAGGTTTATAAACAATGAGGGAGGGATAGCCACAGAAAGAAGTTCTAGGTAGTTTTTGCAATTTCCCATTTCGATCCTATTAATTCCATTACTTGATAGTGTATATGAACTGTGAGCAACCGGGACCTTTTCGCTTACGATCATTCACGGGAAAAAATTAACCAGCACGTTTTTATGGCTCCTCTTATGCTCCGCAGCTCAAATCAAGATAACTATTTCAAGTTAAAATTCAAAGAGTAAAATCCCCTAGGATTCAATTTTAACTCCTTGAATGAGGATGGAAATTCCAATACTATTATGCAATCCTTCAAGCCACAATATCAGTTTGGATTTAAAAATGCAGCTAATGATCTAATAACACTTGCAAACACTCCAAAAAACAACCACCAATAAAAAACTTTCAGAAATCAATGTCCAGAAACAACAACAAAATGAAACTTGCACAATCAAACAATAAATTGAACAATATAAATTAGAGACCGCAAAATAGTTTACACGACATCATTACAAAGTCACCAGGATAAGAGGAATTTAAGCTAATATTGTACAATGCATTAAAAAAGCAAACTTACTATTTCGCCATCAAGTTATAGTCCCTTTGTTTTTCTAATGCTCCCATATATCTCCAATAAACCAGGAACTTTGCCCTCGTACTTGGTAATATAATTCTCCAAGAACTTCTCCTCGCTTATTTTTAAGAAAGTTGCAGTCTTCCTGACTCTAATTAGCTTCTTTGACTCCAAAACCTTCAAAACATTATACCTCGGATAAATCCTCTTATCAAACGAATACTTGAAAATTGAGGGATTTGCAGTAATAGTCTGGTGTCCCAGCTTCACTGTATTCACGAAGAAATCCATCATGCAGCTGATTTTCTCCTCTGAACATGATAAAAGAAAAGGGAATCGCTTAAAAGTCCCCAGAATCTCCCCTTCGCTCCAGCCAACGCTCTT